TTAGACATGGACAACTTACTCCAACCAATCCAATGAAAGCCTTTGTCTAGATCTAAGCCCTTCCTCCACCAGAAATTCCCCCAAATGCTGGATATTTCCTTGCACAGAGTGACAGGCAAGACAAAACAAGACATAGCAAAAACAGGTAAGGCATTGAGCACAACTTTAATGAGGATTTCCTTACCTGCTGTAGAGAGCCACTTGTTTTTCCAATTGCAAACTCTATCTTTGACCACTGTAAGGATGTAATCAAAGGCCTCTCTCTTTGACTGCCAATTCCCAATGGGAGGCCTAGATATCTGGTAGAAGAATGGATTTGGATTCCAGAAAGGATAGAGCAGCAACTGTTCTTGACTGCTAGTGGAGTGTTCTTGCTAAAAAAAACTGAAGACTTGATCATATCACCTGCGGCCCAGTGAAGTTGTGATAAGCTTGGAGAATCCTAAGAATGTTGTTGGCTTGTGCTCACTTGCTTTGCAGAAGAGTAAGGTATCATCTGCAAATAACAGATGGGTCAATGTGGGCCCTTCTTTGGATATTCTTACCCCTCTGTATCTGCCTTTTTCAGCTTCATCCTGGATCTTGGCTGTCAGCAACTCAGAAATAATTAAAAAGAGGTAACGGGATAGAGGATCTCCCTGCCTCCTTTTGATGCAGTGACAAATCCACATGGCTTTCTATTCAAATTAAAGGAATAAGTAGGAAAATGAATGCATGCCATTATCCACTTAGCAAATGAAGCACTCAACCCCATCCTTAACATAGTCAGATGCACATATTTCCACTCAACCCAGTCAAATGCTTTCTTCATATCAAGTTTTAGAGCCGTAAAATAATTCTTACATGTTCTGTGTCTATTAAAGAAATGGAAGACTTCATGGCCAATGACAACATTTTCAAGCAGTTGCCTTCTAGGAAAGAAGGCTGCTTGATTAGCTGAGATGCAATCACAGAGACATAATCTTAACCTCATAGCCAGGATTTTAGAAATAACTTTGTAAAAGACGGCACAAAGGCTAATTGGTCTATATTGACTGATAGAAGTGGGATTGAAACATTTGGGTATCAAAGTGATTAAGGTGTGCTTCCAGTATTTAAGCATCTGATAAGATTAAAAAAATCTTTTAACAGCAGGTATGATGTCCATACCAATGGTTGGCCAGAAATGCTGATAGAAGAGGCCAGTCATTCCATCCTCACCAGGAGCTTTGTCAGGATGGATACTGAAAACTGCCTTTTTGATATCATCTTCTTCCACAGGGGCTGTCAGCAGTGCATTCATCTCATCAGTGACTGTCCTTTTGATTAGAGGAAGAAATTCATGCACACCTCTAGAGCCATTAGAGGTATTGATCTTGGTGTAGAATTCTGAAATGTGCTTCTCAATGCTTTATGGGGAGTTACAGATTGTGTTTCTCTCAGTTACCAACCTTACAATTGAGTTCATTTTCCTCCTCTGAGAGACATATGCATGGAAGAATTTAGAGTTCTGATCTCCTTCTTTGAACCAGAGGGTTCTGGCCTTTTGTTGCCAGTAAATTTCCTCAGATACATTAGCTGCATTAAGCTCCTGCTGTATTCTGTCCCATGTGTCCCAATCCCTGTATCCACCTTCTCTCCTGAGATTCTCCAGTTGCAGTGTGAGGTTTTGGATTTTGGTTGTGTGATCTGCTCCGAAATACCTACTCCAGATTAGGAAGGCTTATCTTGTTCTCTTAATCTTTTCCTTAAGAATAAACATATGAGTACCCAGGGTAGGTGCCTCTAATGCTTGTTCAACCATAGAGTTTGCACCATCTTTATGTATCCATCTTTTATCAAACTGGAACTGCTTCTTGAATTTCCTGTCACCCTCTGATGTAGTAATGACCAGCATGGAATGATCTGAAGCACTTTTGAACTAGCTTAACCAATCCAAGGACACAAACATCATGTCCAAGGCTTCTTCCACATATTCTTGACCCTTTCTGTTGTTAGCCCAGGTGTAAGTAAGCCCTTGCAATGGAATTTCTATATCCCCCAGTTGAGAAAGAAAGTTGTTAAACTCCTAGAAGTCTTTGTCGGATTTGATATGCCCTCCTCTCCTGTCTTCAGGCCTGTAAAGAGCATTCCAGTCTCCTGCTATGCACCACAAAGAACCCCAACCATTTTACTCCTGGAGTAGACACTCCCATTGTAATGCTCTATCTGTCTTAGATGAACTGAGGTAGACAAAGATGGCCCAGCAAGAACTACCTCATATCTTCTCTTTAAAGTTTACAGCAATAAAGAAACTCTGGCTATGGATATGAATGATCTCCATGTCTGCATCCTACAATAAGAAACTCTAGGTTCTACAAAATGGTGCCTTTTAGCAAAACCCGACTTGAAACAAAAAGAAGAAACAATTTTTTTGTTTTTTTTTCTATTTTAGAAAGAAAAAAGAATGATGGGTGGTGGATCCTCAAAGATTCCTTGATCTGGGGAACTGTAGAGGTCTGGGGAACTGTAGAGGGTCCACCCAGACCTCTACAGTTCCACACTAGAGCATTCATGGGGAATTTGAGGGCTTCTTTAGGCAAGCCCTCTCCACCTTTGCCAAGCTCAGTTTCAGCTTTTTATCTTGTTTCTCGGGTTGCTCCTCATTGTGAGAAGAGTTAAACCAGGTAATACTCAATTCTCTAGACCTTTTGATTGCCATGGTTGGAACCTCCATATGACTGTCTTTGGAGCTTCTTAAGAGTCTGCCTTCCTTCTGAGTTGACCTCTTCCAAGTAATCATGTTAAGGGGGGGTCCCCCTTCTACCTCTCCCTCTCAGGCTAGTGCTTCCTCCAACATGTGCTGATATCTCCTCCATAGGGTCCACCATCTCTTGATTCCCCAATGAGTAGTTGGGTTCATGATTAGCTGATGCTGGACTGTAGAGGACCAGCTCCTTATCAGATGATTGAGTAGTTGGAGTGGTAGCCACATTAACTGTGTTGATGCCTTGGTTATCTTTTGGCTCTGTTTGGCTCTGAGAGGTGTTTTTCGTTGTGACATCATTTGTCATTGCCTCTTCGTCTCTCAATGAGTCATTGTTGCAGTTATAATTACTTGGTGGTGATTTAGGTTCTTTTGTTTGCCCTGAAGAGGAACCAGAATTGTTCCAATTTTGGCTTTGCAACCCATCTGTGGCTCTCATCCAGTCACTGAATTGTCCCTCCCTGAGGGTCTTGTTTTTAATATCTTCCATTCTTATGTTGCAGGATTTTTCAATGTGCCCTATCTTTCCATAGTAGAAACACAGGTTGACAAGACGTTCATATTTAAAGGTGACCGTGACCACCTGTGTCCCCAGTCTAATCGAAATGCATCTTGGCAGTGGCTCATTGAGATTAATTGTAGCTAGGAGTTTGATCAACCTACCTTCTTGGTAGGTTATGTTGCTCACAACCACATTGGATACATCTTTGAAAACCTCTCCTATTTTGAGACCGACCTCTGATGTGAGCCAATTAAGGGGAACATTATGTACCTGGACCCAGAGCTTTAGTTCTGAGAAGCAATTAGCAGAGCTGTTCATGTCTGTTTCCCAGCGGCGGAGAATTAGAAACTGATTTTCGAAGATCCAATTGGTTCCTCCCTCTACCTTCTTAAGATCTTCCAATTTGGCAAAAATAAATTGGAAAAAATTCGGCTCCAGTTCTCTGACCTCCAGTGAACTCTTTAATCTCCATATTTGGCTCAAAGCTTTCTTAATACCGGGCAAGCTTGCTCGTTTATTTCCCACTATCCGCCCAAACAGGCTGTGGTGACATTCTTTGACACTGGTTTAACGTCGTCAGTCTGCAGATCAATTATTTTGTTCTCGACCTTGGATAGGGAAAAAACCCTAAGTCTCTGCTCAACTTCTTCCGTATATGCAACAGTATTCTGGTCATCCATCTCGATCAAGAAAGGGGTAGAAAGCAAGGACGATTAGAAGAAAGAAGGTGAAAAGAAGAAAAAACTCCTCCGATGAAGGGAATATAGCTTTCCGATGAAAGAAGGTGCTCCCGACGAGAGAAATCGCTCCCCTAAAGAGAGAATTTGCAATAATTGAGATTCGATCCACCACCATCTGCAATTAGAATCTCACATTTTGTGGTTTACACAACTTTATCATGAATGAAAAATAAAATTGATTTTACCAATGAAAAATAAAATAAAAAATAATATTGATTTTAATAATGAAAAGACGACTTATATAATAATAATAATAATAATAATAATAATAATAATAATAATAATAATAATAATAATAATAGTAATCACAATAATAATAATAAAGGAAAATAACTGATTGTTGAGTTAACTGAAAATTCTTTCTATTTTCTTGGTTTACTCTATGTTAGCAGAAATTCAACGGTACACAAAAATAGTTTGATCCATTGTTCACTTCGTTTTTTTTCCTTCTCTGCTTCTTCTATTTTCTAGATGCAAAACCAACCAAAAAAAAAAAAAAACTATTTTTCTTTTCTTATGTGTGTACAAGACCGTCATCTTGCATGTATCATGCACGGCTCCTAAACTTCTCATCCAGTTAGATCTCGAGAGCAATCGTTGTTCACCCGACGTACACCACAAAAAAGCCTGCAGGAGCTAGCAACAAACAAGTGAGATCGTTTCGGGAAACTTCAGCAATAAATGGAGCAGAACGAAGTAGCATGCAAACAAGATTGAAGAAAAACAGCAGGCCAATCCCATTTAAGTATTTCTTTCTCTTTTTATCTATGATCTTTGGCTTGTTGCATTAAAGTGACTAATGAGCCTCTGAAACATCAGAAACGACAATGAGCCGAAATTTTAAGAAGTTTTAATTTAGCTGAGAAACCGAAGATGTATATGGCAAATCTTGTGCGATCCTTCCAAATCATATGCAATGCAAACAATATTATTATCCACCAAAAATAAAAAAATAAAAAAATAAAAAAATAAAAAAAAAACACTTTAAACAGATCAAAAATTCACTTACTTGGAGCACGGACTAAGAAGCACATTAATAGTTTCCAAGAAAATATGAAAGGACTATTTCATTCCACACGTCAGGGAGTCCCGGCAGACACCAGTGGCTGCAGTCGGATAAGGACGGCCGGTCACTCCACGTGCCCACATGTGCATCACTTCTAAATGCTGACATAGGAGTTACATGAACAACGGTCACGGGAACAATCATAGTATTAACCACCTCGAACACGGTATCTGAAAACGGACTATAGTCCTTCCCTTCGACTTCTGAAAGAGGTAATTGAGACACTTCGCACTCTCCTAGAGTTAGATTTCTGATACAGGCAGACATCCCAAGAGACGTTATTTAATGTAAACATCTCTTTAAAAATATATAGTGACATTTGACACACATAGTTAATGTGAAGATTTACATGCTAAGACACTTTACATTTAGAAAGCAAATTTTTATATCCGCAGACAAGAAAATTATGTATTGATTACAGTAACCTAAGCAGTTATATTCATTTAGGGAGAGGAGAACTTAAAACACCCAACAGAAAGGATAATTAAAGAGATAGTGAAGGAATAGGAATTCATAATTTTTTATCACATGTAAATGATGAAATTTTCAAGTTTCAGAATATGGAAAGTTGTTAGTCAATAAACATCGTAGATACCTCCAGTGAGACGGTTCAAAGGTTCGGAAGAAGATGTGTGTTTTATCTGGATTGATCATACGGTCCACCCAAGATGCCCAAGTTTGTAAAGCAGTTCGATAGGCTTTGGCAATGGGCATTCCGAGTTTCAGCGATTCACCAACCTGGAAATAGCATCCCCTGTCAAGGCATCGAATTCAACTTAACATGTACTTCAGAACAAATAACAGGGGTATCACAATTCACACTCTCTCTCTCTCTATCTCTCACCCACACACATACACATACAGAGAGAGAGAGAAACTATACTAGAGAAGAAAATAGCTCATTGAACTGGAGACTTTTTCTATAGACTTCTACAGGCATGATGCAGATATTAACCTATAATCAAGAGGCAAAATAGTAGAATCCAGCTTATAAAATAATTTTGGTTAGAGAAATGATAAGGACAATCCACAATTATTTCTTGATAAATAGTTGCTTATAAGAAGAAGAAGAAGAAGAAGAAGAAAAAAAAA